CACTTGATATTTGTTATAAGCATTACTGCAAGCCTGTCTCCTAATTTATATTATAGACATGCAACGTTTGGCCATTTATTTTAATACTTTCTCTGTTTATGAATGTTACACAAGTGACATATTATTACAAGTATTATAGATTTTTAAATGAAGTGAAATACATGTTGTTTTTAAAACAGCAGGATACAACTTTTCTAGACAGCCTTTAATTTTCCTTCAGAAATGTAAGGGTGTCCTTGCAATTTTGAACACACCATGGCAGAAAACCAAGCCTCTCTTCTGCAATGTGTTTTGTGCCTGTATTAAAATTTTAAAGAGTTTGCTCAAAATTATAGTTATTTTCAGTTATTACAAAATTAGAGAAAAAAGCATACTGGTCTCACAATTTTATTTTGGTTTATTTTGTTTAATAACACGACAAGCAAGGTATGAACACAGAACTGAGTTTTGTATTCTTTAATTAAGACCATTACTCTTGTCTGGGAGATTCTTGCTTTGCTGTAATCCTTCTGGTTCTGCACAATGGAAGAAAATGACAGATTGTTGCTGTTTATATTACAGTAGCTTTTAGGGATAACTACATTTATAATCCAAATAGGAAACAGCAGGGAAAAAATAAGGATCGTTATCAAAGGAAAGAGCAAGTGACTGGTCCATAACCATCATCACAGAGAAATAAGCCAGGAATAAAAGCAGATTTTCCCCAGCTCCACATTTATAGCTGCCACAAACTTTGCAGAAATGGATTTTCATTTATTTATTTATTTGTTTGTTTATTTTATTTTATTTCAGTTATTTGTGTCTGGGAATAAGATGCCTAAAATAGGACTAAAGGTCCTGTCTCAAAATCAATAGCAAAATGAGAAGATGAAATGGTCTTGTATCAGCTTCGCAGATGTAATCATGGACTTGCCTCTCTGCTAATGGCTGTTAATGAGGCTCTGATTTTACCCGGAATAATGAGGTTTAATTCCAGAAAGTCTGGAACTGATGGCTGCTTTTTCTGGTGCTAAAGCTCTTTTCCCATCCAGATTTACCCCTTACCATGATTAAAACTTTGGATGCTGCTGCCAGCAGTGGGGGTTTTGTGGGTCTGTTATGGTTCAGTAACCCTACCAATTGCCCTTTTGCTTGATTTTTGATTATCCTACAGTACATTGAAAGGCTTTAGCTCAGAAATTATCTCCAGTCTCTGAACTTCCTATTTTACTCCTATTTTGAAGAAAATACTCCAAAAACGTGGAGGCTCCTTCCTCCTATCTGAAGTTAAAACACACAGCCTTCTGCTCTCACCTTCAATAGATTTTGTGATCTGCTGCATTATATACAGAGAGCTTTCAGTCAAGGCTACTTTTTTATTAATTCCGGAATTTCTACTGTCTACTAGAGCTGCTGGTACATCTTGTTATTGTTGCCAGCGTTGTTGTCACACAACAACTTAGACTATTATTGTGCTTTTGGCCTCAAGATCTTGACAAGGGAATCCAGTTGGTCTTAGTGGCTGCTCCTGGCTCCCTTCCTCCTAGAGATTAAATACTGAAATTAGCTTTATGCCTGCTATATATACATATTAAAATTCAAAGAAACCCCTGAATTAGCTACATTTACACTTCCATCTTAAATTATTCAGTGAAAGGAATTTTCATTTTGAAATCCTATTTAGTTTTTCTCCTTTCTCCAAGTCAGGGTGTTCCTTCACTTCTTTCTTTTTTTACCTCTACCTTATGGTCTGCTGAACACAGAGCAAAGAGCTGCCCTTGTTCTACATTAATGTGAGCATCTTTTGGGGCTAATAAATCCAGCTGGGAGGGAAAATCTGGCAGAAATGCAGGGAAAGTACACTGGGCAACATCAATACAGAGTGAGACATGAATGGATTTATATGAAATGTGCAGAGAGACTTTCAAAAAAGAACTGTAGTGAGGGGATAAAGGGCAATGGTTCTAAGATAAGAGAAGGTGGATTTAGACTGGGCATAAAGAAAAATTCCTTTTAGGATGAGGGTGGGCAGGCCCTGGCACAGGGTGCCCAGAGAAGCTGTGGCTGCCCCTGGATCCCTGGAAGTGTCCAAGGCCAGGTTGGATGGGGCTTGGAGCCACCTGGGATTGTGGAAGGTGTCCCTGCCCATGGGGGAGGATTGGATTGGATTATCTGAAAGATTCCTCCCAACCTAAACTGTTCCAGGATTGTGTACAGAAATACACACAGCATTATCACACCCTCATCTCACCTCTCCTTGTGAAAGTAAAGGCATTTCAATGTTTGTTTTCAGTTTTTTCAAAACTGTGATGTTTCTCCAGTTTCCCTTCACACACAAAAAAAAGATTATTACATTGCAGTAAATTTGGCTGTTACTTTTCTAGTGCACTAAAAGGGTTTATTAACCTGAGAGGCATCTAGTTAAATAGATTTAACTGTGTAATATAACATATATATAATATAACTTATAATAACTCCATAATTCTTTTTTACATTAATACTTTAACATACATCTGGAAAATTCCGCCTAAAATTCCACAAAATGAGTGGCTAATCTGTGAGCCAAGGTCAGTTTTTCACAGATCAAACACAGGCACACACCGACATTGACACCCAACAGGTGAGAGGCTCCAAGCAGCACACGTGGGTTGGCTGGTTTGGAGATTTTTGGCTGGAGTATTTTGGTGGGGTTTTGTACATGTGTGTGGCAAGTTTCTTCCTCCTTTACATGGAAACTCTTACTTTTCCTCACAGCTCTGATTCCTTTTGTTCTGCAATTGACTCCATTAATTAATTTTCTGTGTATTTCCTTTGTCCCTGCTGCACTTTGGATCATTATTTAGTAAAAGCTTTCAAAGCTTGTCTCTGATTTGTCTTCCTTTGCATAAATATTTGGTGCTACAAAGCAGTTTGATTCCCAATTAAAAATACCACAATGGTCACTATGATTAGGGCTGTGTCAAAAGAGTTCTGGATATACTATCTTAATTTTTTTTTCTTAATAATTATTCTTTTGGGGGTGTGTGGCAGAAATATTTCATATTAGAAAAAATTTACTATGAGAATTATAAGGGTGTAACATCAATGTAATTAAAACTACAAAGCTTTGTAAATCAATTCATAACAGACCAAGTAGAAACACCCTCTGAAATACTACATGTTTTAGTGCCAGAATATTGTTTAGCTTGAAATATCGTGAAACCCATGGTAGTTTTCTCTATGAGATGTAAAAGGTTTCAACCATTTAATGTAGGGACTTAATTCCTCTACTTCCCATAATATAAAGGCTATGTGGAATTTAAAAGGAAGAACATGTATTATTGATTTTGCACCAGCCCTGAGGGGTCCAGGCAACAGCTGCAGAATGGTGGCACGAGGGCTAGGGGATCTGGAAAGACTCTCCTTAAATGTGATTAACAGGGAAAACAAGGTATTTTGGCTCCATAATTCAAAGTAGATTCAGTTTAGATTGTGTACAGCCCCAGCAACACAATCCAGCAGCATGCTCCTGGTTCATCCAGTCACCATGAAATATCCTCACCCTGAGACAGCTTTCTTTAGTCACTGCATCCACTTCAATGCTGCAAGCAATTTCAGCATATGGAGGCAACATTTCCATTGAAATTCCATAGCTAATTAATATCCTTTCTGTGTATGCTAGCAGGCATCCCTTAGGTAGAGGTTTCTGTTTCCTTTACATACATTTAGAAAAGTATCACAGTCCTTCCTTACTTTACACTGCTCTTTGTGTTCACCATGCCCCACATAACCCAGACCTTTGGGTCAGCCTAACAGTTCCTGCTCAGGTAAAGCAGCAGTGAAATTGTGAGATCTGAATTCAGAGCAGCTGCTCTGCTCCTCTTTGCCATCTTTGGGAGTGGGATTTGCAGTGTCACCAAGAGGAAAGTGATTTCAGGCACATTTATTTCAGTGGTGGGTAATTTTGTGGGGCTGAATAAACTAAAAACATTCAACCTTCTAATGACAGAGGGATTGAGGCCACCCTCATCAGGTTTGCCGGTGACACCAAGCTGAGGGTGCAGTGACACCCCTGAAGGACAGGGTGACATCCAGAGGGACCTGGACAAACTCCAGAAGTGACCCTGGGAACCCCAGCAGGTTTAACAAGGGCTGGTCAGGGCAACCCCGGGATCAGCCCAGGCTGGGAGGAGCATTTGGAGCAGCCCTGGGAGAAGGACTTGGGGGTGCTGGGGGTGAGAGCTGGAGCTGCCCCAGCCCTGAACCCCTGCCCTGGGCTGAGCCCCCAGCCTGGGCAGCAGGGCAGGGGGATTCTGCCCCTGGGCTCAGGTGAGACCCCACCTGCAGAGCTGCCCCAGCACAGGGAGGAGCTGGAGCTGCTGCAGAGAGCCCAGGGGAGGCACCAGGATGGTCAGAGGGATGGAGCAGCTCTGCTGGGAGGAAAGGCTGGCACAGCTGGGATTGTTCAGCCTGGAGAGGAGAAGCTTTAGGAAGACCTCACTGTGCCTGAAGGGAGCCCACAGGAAACAAAGAGGGAGGCTGTTCACAAGGGATGGAGTGACAGGACAAGGGGGAATAGCTACCCACTGCCAGAGGACAGGCTAGATTATTTATTAGGAAGGAATTCTTTGTGAGGTTGGTGAGGCCCTGGCACAGGGTGCCCAGAGAAGCTGTGGCTGCCCCTGGATCCCTGGCAGTGTCCAAGGCCAGGCTGGACAGGGCTTGGAGCACCCTGGGATAGTGGGAGGTGTCCCTGCCCACGGCAGGGGGTGGTGCTGGATGAGCTTTAAGCTCCCTCCCAACCCAAACCATTCTGTGGTTCTTTGATTCTATGATTACTCACTGCTGTCCTGGCTACTGTGCAGTTGGTAGTTTTACCCTGATTATTCCTAGAAGAAAACAACATTCTCATAAAAGACCATTATCAAATTAAGCAGCCATTACTGTTGTTTTGAATCACAGCACAGAAACAAAGTACTTGTGGTCTGCTTTGTCCTTCTCAAGACGTAAATCCACCTGATCCAGAGCAGGACGTTGTAGGGATGGCTGTAAGTGCATTTGGTGCTGATGTTGCTGTCTCACAGATTTATACTGGACTTGGCCTCCAAAGAAGGGGAAAGTAGGTAATGGGTATTTTACTGCCTCTCCTCTTCTTGTTAAATTGTCTTCATTTTTTTACTTAGCATCTGCCTCACTGAGTACTCATCATCTGCTACTGAGCCATCTGATGTACAACAGATGTTAAGCACTTAGTGAGGCAGAGAAGGAGGTAAAAGTGTCATATCATGATTAAATACTTGCTCCAGCTATTCTATAGGGTGACCATAGTGCTTTGTTCTTACATTTAATGTTACAGTGTACTGAACAGGAATAGGCACGTGGTTTGGATTAAGCTTGCAACTGCTCTAGTAAAAATAATCCTGTTTTTAAGCGAAGGGTTTTTTCATAGTAAGAAAAAAAAATCGCAAAATATTTTAAATGCACTTCAGAATTATGATTTATGTCTGTCATTAAGATTCTCATCAGAAACTTGGCTGGTGTTAATTGCTGCATTAACTTCCCTAGGATTATCATATTTTTTACCATTCTTGTGTAAAAGTGAGATTATCTGGCAGGTTTTCTTTCCCCGGCAAGCATTCCAGCTGAAAGCTGGTGCAGTTTATGGGGCAGCAAATTTAACCACAGGAGTCTCTTCATCCTGCAACAGTAGTCTGAGCTTGTAGCAGAGTAGGAAATGAGTGGAAGTTGGAGCAGAAGTTGTCATTGAAGCAGAATTAGATAACAATCTGCTTTCAAGTAAATTTTAAGAACTGAGAAAATTTGTGGAATATTGTCGTGCATCTCCAGGTATTTTCACATTGACATATTTGATCAGACAAGGAGGAATAAGGAGGGAGGAATTATTCTTCTTCTTATTATTATTAATAAGGAGGGAGGAATTTGTCTTCCCTGAGAGGTGTGATTTGTGTGAGCAGTCAATGGTGAGATTCAAACCCCAGAACAATGAGACCCAGTTTTGGGGTCTTAAGTAAAAGGCAGGAGTTTGGGATTTGGAAGGGTTACCTGGCTCAGTGTCCATAAGTCAGAGCAGTGGCTTGATGATATATTTCCTATAGAGACAACAGGTTTTCCACTAACAAGACAATCATATTCGTGTTTTCATAGGAATTCTGTCCAGATTTAGCAATTCTTTTGTACTTTTGTGTTGGTTTTGAAAGGTTGTTTTCAATGACTTGATATTAACAAACAAAAGGAGTTTAAAAATTGCAAAAAAATTCTAGGAAGGTGTAATTTGTCGTATAATTTGAGAAGTATCCTGTATTTACAAAGCATCATATTTAATTAAACTAAAAATTTACTTCTACAGTAAAGTAGTGATTTCAAGTGTGTGAATGACCAGAAATAGCTTTTGATTGTAAATTATCACACAACTTTGCAGGATGAGAAAGACACAGGTATTTCAAGCATTCCATTTTTATTTGAAGCTCAGTGGAGGGACTAGGACTATTCTTGCTGGTTTCAGGAGCTTTGGAAGCTGGTTCTACACCCCAGTGTTTGGAAAACTAACTCATCAGGCCAGCATGTGTAATATTCCAAATCAAATAATAGTATTTTTTTTGTTAAAAGAGTAACTGAAGAGCTCTTTCAAGCCTTGCTCAGGGCACCTGTGGTCATGTTCTTTCTCCAGTTGGTTCTGAGTGATGAAGTTCTGGAATGGTCTGCCCAGGGAGGTGACGGAGTCACCATCCCTGGATGTGTTTAAGAAAAGCCTGGATGTGGCACTCAGTGCCATGGTTTAGTTGAGGTGTTGGGGCATGGGTTGGACTCGATGATCATGAAGGTCTCTACCAACCCAGTCATTCTGTGAATTCTGTGAATTCAGGGAGGCTTCATCCATTTCCTTTTATCTTATAGCGTGTAAAGATTCTGCCAGTGCCCTTCTCACTGTCCTCTGCTCTCACATCTTCCCTGGAGATCCTGACCAGTGCATTGCTTGTTCAATAGTGAAATTTTGGTTTAGTTCTACAGGCTTCTTTTTTGGGGGAGTGCAAATGTTCCCCTTCTGTCTGATTTCTCCAAGGACTCTCTGTCCATCCACCACACCTCTGTGGTATTGAGGAAGTCACAGTACTGGAAGTGTGTCCAAATCTGCCTGTTTCCCACACACATCCATGTCCAGGCACAGAGAAGGACCCCTAGATGCACCACTTTCTGCCCAGAATGAATCACACAATCATAGAACATTTTGGGTTGGAAAGGACCTTAAAGATCATCCGATTCCAACTGGATTATGCAGTTCCAAACCACACTAGAAAGCCTCTCTCCCTGGATGCTTTATTTCCCACCCCCATTAGAGCTCCAGCCCCAGGCTAGCAATGCTTGAAGCCCTTGTCACAGGGTTAGCAAGGCTGGCACCTGAGCTGTCACCTCTCACCTTGTCTGGAGCCCCCTCTGTCCCCAGCTGCCACCGTCCCCACAGGGGCTGTGCAGCCTCAGCTGCACCAGCTGCTCAGCCAGGTGGTGACCTGCAGGACACGTCTGCTTCCAATCAAACCCCTCCCTCGGCTGCAGGGTCCAGAATTTGTCTGATCTTGACTTTCTAGGAGAAAAATAATGATTTTGTAATGACGTGCCAGTGCGAATTTACCCAATTAAGGACGAGTGGCTTAAATAAAGTAGGTATCACCCACATTTTATGTACTTTTGCATAATTTACTTAATTTGCTCCACTGAAAGCAATACATTTACAACGAGTAACAGTATTCCTTAATGACTAATTTTAAAACAAGCAGTTAAATAAGGAAGTAGATTTTATTTTTAAAAATAGACTGTATTTGTTAAATAATCAAAGACAAGTATAAGCAGATTCTTCTTGAAATTTCTCTGCTTAAAGTCAGGTAAAGAGAAATCAAAGTAAGGCAATAATATTAGAATGTTATTGTTTTGAACTTCACTGGAATAAGGAGATAACCTCCTTCCCTCTAAAGTTGTTGACCTCTTTGCAACTGCTAATCATCAAAGACATAGCAGTTTAAATAAGCTAGATAATACTAAGTTACAAACAACATAACTAAAGTTATAGAAAGAAACTTACTTAATTTTCATGTAATTTCATGCTGATTTTTAAACTGCTGCTTGTATTCCCTAACAAAATAAAAGGAGGAAGGTAGGCTCATTAAAGAGAACAAAAAAGAAGTGACTTTAGAGATTCTGTTCCTCATAATCATCAGAATAGCAGATTGCATCATTAATAAAGAAAAAACCCAATGTTTTATACACCCTGTGGTTGGAATACCCACAAGGTGGTTGGCTCACCCAGAATGTTTTTGCTTAATGCTGGCTTTTAAATAAGCACCAAGAAGACTAAGGTATGTTCATGTTGTGCATGTTATTATATTTACTTATGTTGCTAGAAAATACCTACAGCTATAGGCATATAAACCCCCAACCCTGAACAACCAAGATTCCTGCGCTAAAAAAGGAAAAATTTAGAAAGATTTAAAAAGTAGCCAGAATATTTTTTTACTGAACTTTATTTTCATGTTTCTAAAATACCAGAATTTGGAATGCCACGGATTTCTCCATGAGGCAAATTCAAATGTGACTTAAAAGTCAGTCAGGAATAAATGAGGGTCTTGCATTTTCTCTCCAAAACAATGCAATGAAAGGGGAAGAAACTGTACAACCATCATCATTCATGTGGCAACAACAGATCTGATTGCAGCAGACAAAACAAGTTCTTTAAACTGTGCATTGCTGGGAATAATAAGAGTGGAAAAATACAAAGAAAATAATTTTTCTGACTATTTCCATGTAGGTCTGCTCTTCCTGTTGTCATTCTTCTAGTGGATGTGCCTCATCAGTCTAAACTGTTGGTTTCAGTATGTTTTCCCAGTGTGATGTAGGACATTAACTGTTCTTCCTAGTGAAACCAAAATGAGATGACAAGAAGAACATTAAAGTGATCTTTTAATTTTGTCCCCAGAGATGAAAAGTAAACACAACATGCTCATGCATGGCTTCCTGTAGAGATACTGTAGTGCTGAAAGTCATCTAAAGAATCTCTTCAGGTGGGGAGTGGGGACCTGTTGCTATTCTAGGAAAGAATTTTGGCTCACTGTCTGTAAATCAATGCAGCTCCAGCTAGTAAAGGAAAAAATCTTCATAATGGAAGAGAGGGACAGTAGAGTTGTAGACAATTAGATACACACTAAACTCTTCTTTGGTCAAATCGAACACACAAAAACAATCTCAGCTGCGTAGGATTTCAAGATGTTAATCTGGAGACAGTCATAGAAAATGGTTCTTTGTCAGGCTTCCTTGACAGAGATGCAGAGAAAGCAAATACCTGAACTAAATGTTCCTGTCATGCCTTTGGGTTTATAAGGAAACTTTTCTTTTGTGATTTTGCATTGTTAAGAGGCAATTTATACTTGCATCTATCTGACAGCAGATGCTATTGTGCCTTAACCTGACACTAAAACAGCTTTCTTTTCCTCTTTCTGATAAAATATAACAAAGCCATATTTGCTGCGTGCAGGCCTCTCCTTGTTAAAAACAACTTCTTTTCACGCTGCAGGTCTTCCAACTACTGGCTGAACCGCATCCAGTCGTTCCTGTACTGCAACGAGAACGGGCTCCTGGGGAGCTTTTCCGAGGAGACCCACACGTGCACGTGTCCCAACGACCAGGTGGCGTGCCACGGCTCGCTGCCCTGCACGCTGGGCGACGGCCCCGCCTGCCTGAGCTGCGCGCCCGACAACCGCACGCGCTGCGGGAGCTGCAACGCCGGCTACATGCTGAGCCAGGGCCTCTGCAAGCCCGAGGTGGCCGACTCCACCGAGCACTACATCGGCTTCGAGACGGACCTGCAGGACCTGGAGATGAAGTATTTGCTGCAGAAGACGGACCGGAGGATCGAGGTGCACGCCATTTTCATCAGCAACGACATGCGCCTCAACAGCTGGTTCGACCCCTCGTGGCGCAAGAGGATGCTCCTGACTCTCAAGAGCAACAAGTACAAGTCCAGCCTGGTCCACATGATACTGGGCCTCTCTCTGCAAATTTGCCTGACTAAGAACAGCACCTTAGAGCCCGTCCTTGCTGTTTATATCAACCCTTTTGGGGGCAGCCACTCTGAGAGCTGGTTTATGCCTGTGAATGAAAATAATTTCCCAGACTGGGAGCGGACTAAGCTGGACTTACCCCTTCAGTGCTATAACTGGACGCTGACTCTGGGCAACAAGTGGAAGACATTTTTTGAAACTGTGCACATCTATTTGAGGAGTCGAATAAAGTCGAACGGTCCAAATGGCAACGAGAGCATCTACTACGAACCCCTGGAATTTATTGATCCCTCAAGAAATCTGGGCTACATGAAAATCAACAACATCCAAGTGTTTGGCTACAGCATGCACTTCGACCCAGAAGCAATCCGAGACTTGATTTTGCAGCTGGACTACCCCTACACTCAGGGCTCACAGGACTCAGCACTTTTGCAGCTGTTGGAGATTCGGGACCGTGTAAATAAACTCTCTCCACCCGGCCAACGTCGTCTGGACCTCTTCTCTTGCTTGCTCCGTCATAGACTCAAACTGTCTACCAGTGAAGTGGTGAGGATCCAATCTGCTTTGCAGGCCTTTAATGCCAAATTGCCAAACACAGTGGATTATGACACAACCAAATTATGTAGTTAACCATAAATGTGAAGCACAACACAAAACTTTGAAGGAGTTTTTACAGTGCTTTTGTGGAACAGTTTATGTTTGGAAGAGTAAATTTAAATTGTCTTTTCAATATCTGTCTTATATCAGTCAATACTGTTGGATGGCAATTTACACACATGAACTTGCTGACAATGAATATATTATACCTGCAGTTTTGGTTTATGAATGAAATAAATACTGACACCAGTCTAGAAGACATTCTACTTTTTACAATAAATTTCATTTGTAATTTTATATGTTCCGTGGCAATGCTTTTGTGCATTACATCCTCTAGAGGGAACATAGAAGGAGACCAATAAAATTTTGTAGCTGAACAGTTATTACAAAGAAACGCTGTGGGATTCTTTTTTCTTACACAAAAGTAGTAACTTTGATACACTTTTGTGTGTGTTGAACTCAGGAGGGTAGGCAAAGAGAAGAGATTGAGTCCAGATTTTAAGAGAAACTGTCAAAATTCAAAGCCATGGCATATTTTAATTTTAGGATGTGAATCTAGGAGTTCATGCTGGGCTGAAGTGACCACTGTAGCATTGCTCCACTTGAGGCTTGTGCTTTCCAAGGTGCTCAATGTGACCCCAGGGTGATCCCAGGGAGTTTAGGATGTGCAGGAGGCTGGAGCTGTGGGATGCACAGCAGTGCAAGGCTGCATTAGCTCTACAGGAGACAGGGGAGAGGCTGTCTGCAAATGACCAAAATGCTTTTCAATGCCCCTGATCCTTTGCTTTGCATATTTACCAAAAGAATCAAGCATATGTAAACGTTGCCTCCTCCCAATGCACACACTATAATATTCAGAATTCTCTGTTTTGAACTGCTCACTCAAGTACAGCCATGCTGCTTAGATTCAAATTAATGTTAAAAATTTCCCTGCCAATGCAGATGTTTAGTAGATGGGTGTTTTTTCCATTTTTTTCAGTTTTTTTCTTAAAAAAAACCTCCCCTTTTACAGATACAAGAAATCCAGTTTATAAAGCTGCCAGTGCAAGTCATTAATTAAACATTATCAATTCCTGAAATAAATTAAATGTGAATGTCTGTGGATCAGAATTAGGTTCTTTGCTGTTTGACATTCCCAGCAGATAAAAAGCACATCTGAGACAGCAGAACCTGGGACTCACAAGAAGCTTTTGCTGCCTCTTGCAAGAGAACAGAACAATTGTCTGGATTGTCAGAAGTGCCCATTAGTAAATGCAGGGTAAAATGAAGGAAATTGATACAAAATGGTTTAGTAGTCCCTCCTCACATTCATTCTGAATCTGTGTCACAGACTTAAAAGTCAATTTGTATTTTTTAAATGGGAAGGAATTACATAAAGAAAGATATTTTATGGGCAAGCACATAAAGCAAAAACCTCCATTTCATTCATACACAATTTTAACTCAGCTGGACTCCGACAAAATTCACTTTATTAATTTCAATTTATTGTATTACAGTGAGATCTGAATTCAGCCTAATCTAAGATGCACTGCTCACTTCCAGCAAGATCCCAGCAACACAGAGAAAACACCTTGTAGTGAATGTAGACAAGCTAAAATACAAGGGCAAAAACTCTTCAGAAAGTCCACTGCCAAGGGAAATCTTTTCCTTAGTGATTCCTCTCTCTCCATGACTCTTGTAAATATTTATCTGCTTTATTGTTTCACTGCCACCATTTGGATAATTCCTCAAATGTTCTATACTAACAAGTCACTCAGAGCTAAAATTAACAATTATTTTTCCCCCGTGTTTTTTGTTTGTTGGTTTTTTTGGTTTTTTTTTGGTTGTTGTTGCTGGAGGAATTAACCTCTGGAAGAATTCCTGTTTGTCTTCAACTTACAGCTTTCTTTTGGTGATAAATAATGTATGTCAGGCCCTCTTCTACATATCCAGATTTTGGCTTGCTCTTGCATTAGTAAGATCTCCCTAGTTAAAATTCTCAGTATTCCTGTTTTCATCTTCAAGTCTTTATTTTGCTCTTTTGTTATGCCTTTGGCAACTATTATAACTTGCAAAATTAGACAGTTGGATTTTACGAAGTACCTTGTGTAGTCTTTTCAAACAAGTGAATCCTCCTTCTTAAGATTTTCCCCCATGACTATTTTTTCTTTCTTGGCTGAGTTATGGGGGTTTTTTTACATATCTTTCTCTGCCAAGATTTAAAGTTTTTCACTGTGCAGAACGATATCTGTAATAGAAGATACAGATCAGAAGAAGCCCCAAAAGTGGGACATCGTTTAATTATTACATAACACATTCACTGTGTTGGACTGGAGTAGTGGAAACCTCCTGTCATTACTCACCAGTTTTGTGCCAGATTTCCTAGCCCACTACTCATATTTTGGAACTTGTAAGCTCATGGAAGAGGGAGAGTTTCTATTTTACCAGACCTGGATTCTATAAAGATAAATATGATAGGAAAAAATACCCTGTAAGTATATAGTGAGGGAAAAAAAGGGCACAAGTTTATCTGGTTCTCAAACAGGAGACAAAAATATTTCCCTTTTGACACTTTTTTTCCCAATTGGAAACTTTCTGTGTTCTCAAAAAAAAGTTCAGGATATTTTTTTAGAAAAAGATGAGTCTGGATAAGCCCAATCAGCAAACAACTTGATCCATAAGAAAGTTTTGTAATAAGATATGAACCCAAGGGTGGAGAAGAAAGGTCTGTGGTTACATCCATGTGTACTCTTTTCTATCTGGGCATTGCAGATATTTGGAGTGATCAGATTCCAGTGCTTTCTGCTGGCATTCACCAATGCTGTTATTTCCTGCCATCATAAACTGGAAAAAAAACCTCAAAAAACAACAAAGCATGGAAAGGATGGAAACAGAGCATCACAGAACCATGGAAATCCAGACTTATTTGGTCTGGGAGGGACCTTAAAGCCCATCCAGTGCCACCCCTGCCATGAGCAGGGACACCTTCCACTAGCCCAGGTTGCTCCAAGTCCTGACCAACCTGGCCTGGGACACTTCCAGGGATCCAGGGGCAGCCACAGCTTCTCTGGGCACCCTGTGCCAGGGCCTGCCCACCCTCACAGGGGAGGATTTCCTCCCAATATCCAATCTAAATGTACACTTCTTCTATTTAAAGCCACTCACCCTTGTCCTGTCACTGCCTGGGTACTGCACCCATGGAACAGCACAATGACAGCCCAGGACAATATTCAGAACAAATTCCAGTGACTACAGGTACAATCACCAGGTATTTGTTAATTAGAACACAGTCACCATGTTGCTTCAGTGAAGGCCTGTCTGATAAAGAGCTCTTCTAACACTATTTTCCAAGCAAATCCAGTTCAGATCATGTCTGAGGTGTGGGAGCCAGGCTAATGTCTATAAATTCTATTGTGGGAAGAGACTGCAGTAGGGATGGGCCCCCTTATCACTATCTGGGAACCAGAATTAGGTTTCCCAGACTGATCTAAGTCTCTGGGTGACAAAATTCAGAATACAGAGGCTGAATTGAATCATACTCAGACATAATGAACATGAATGAACTCTCATTTCTCTCATTGCTTGCTGAAAAAAAATATAGGCAGGAAGAAAATGAGTTCATATCCTACTGGCTGAAGGTAGAGAGAGGTGTAGTCATTTCAGGGTGTTTCTTCCCAAAATTTGAGTGAGGGCCTTTGTTTCCAAAGGTATGCATATGCTGACTGCATTTCTTGTGAAAGTGCTTATTTGGCAGACACCTCAAGTCAGCAAAGAGACAAAAGCCAAAAAAAGTTAGTTTTCCCAGGCTGAGTCAGCAGTTTGTGCAGGAAGGAGGATGGAGGATGCAGGAGGGGGCTACAACTGCCTGAAGGTCTTTTCTGTGAAAATGCAGCATGTTTTCCAGGGACAAAAAAATGTCATGGGGAAGAAAAGTGATCCACACCCTCCCCTCTGCGGTGCTTGCAGCAAGCAGGAAAAGGGGACGTGGGGAAGGATCAGTGTTTTACAATGCACCAGCCATCATTTCTTTGGCAGGTAGGGGACAGAATCGGAGCTGCTGTGCCCCCCTTGGGAACACCCCTGGATGCTGCAGCCAGGGCTCCTGCCAAGGGGGCTGGAGTGCAAGGGGGAAGCCAGGGAAAAGTAGAGAGAGGAAAGGAACCAAGATCTCATTTGAGTGGGCTTTTAACCAAGCAAAGAGCTTGTATGCTTCGGTACAGCTAAAAGCCAAGGCCAAGATCTCCCTGGGTGTGGATGAGTTTTGGAAACAAGGAATATCGTGGCTACCTTTTAGTGAGAGTCAGTGCTGGGAGATCTCAACACCAGAGCCAGTGCAGTGTTAATGCTGATGTGCAGGACTCATGGGGGCCCAGCAGGGCAGTCTGTGGGACTGCAAGGCTGACTTTGGGGTCTATTCACTCAGCTTCATTCTCTAAGCACCAAATCTACTCCAGAAGCTGCACATCCCAACACTTTCTCTCTACACAGACTACCAAGGGAAAAACCCACAGCCCTGGGTCAGTGACAGTGGATAAGATGTCAACTTACCTGCAGGGCACAGAAGTGTATGGATTTCTGACATTAATTTTCACAAATTTGGCAGTGTGGCCACACCAGAGGAGCTACTGCTCTGGGAGCAAGTGCACGTGGGAGTGCAGGCCCATAAATTCCTTTTTCCTCTGCCAAGCCAACAACAGTAAGGTGTGAATTATGACCAAAGAAACAGTTTTACCTCCCAGAAATAGAGGAATTTTCCTTCCCTGCAGATTACTCCTTGGATGGTAATGTGCATCTAAAAATACCAGTGTATCTTGTCAACACACTCGCATATTCCTCTGGTTTAGGGAACATTCAGTGCCGCGTGCAGGTATGAAAGGGAAACACAAGAAATGCCAATGTTAGCAACAATAGGTGCTGCAGGATTGCCCAGCCTCCGGTCACACCTGCACCAGGCTTTGTTTGTCTGCCTATGATCTGCTCTCAGCACACAGCAGACAGAAAAGAGCTTAAAACCACCTGGGAGGCAGAGATAGCTTTGCTCTGAAAACAATGCTCCCCTAAGAGGGACTAATCCAGAGCGTGACCACCTTTCAACACATTCCAAGAGCTTTCTCTTTTCAGAAAAAGGCTTTTTGCCAATTCTCAGCTGACAGGGAAGAGAGAAGAGGAGGAGTAAAACAAAGTGAGGTGTGTACATATCAAGCCACAATTCTTCGGTGGGGAGAGAGGGGAGAACAAAGAGTCTTTGAAGAGCTTTGGGATCCCATCACAGCTGTGTAACTCACTCCAAAAACATTTAGGTACCGCGGGGATAACAGAAAACCAAAAATGCAAAGACCATGTACAATCTGAGCACGAGCCTGACAGAAGAAAATCAAGCATCACTAGTTCTGAACACACAAAT